TCTCCTCGCTGTCAAGTCCGCTGTCTTTTGCATTATTCAGTCAACTGCAATCAGGAAAATCGTTGGAGATAGTAGGCTTTATATCTAAAGCCTTAATATATCACATATCCATGTGGAAAGGTATACTTCATCAACACGCGTAAATGTTGAATATTCCAAAAGCAATCTACGTTCACAAATTGATTTTACAGGAATAAATTAATGTCTAAATATTTCTTAGCAGAAGTACTTAGGTAAGAGCCATAAAGACATACAAACAATCAATGAATAATTATTTCTTTTAAGTCTGGGAACAATGTGTTTTGATAATCAGAATGATCATGCCCAGGGACAGCAATTCTCGAGTTGAGGATTCTGAGGTTCAGCTACTAAATCAAAATTAAAATGAAAATAAGTGTGTTTACTTCAGAGCATTTCTTTAATTTTTGTTTTGCTTCAACGATGCTTTGATTACATGTAGTTCCTGCTGTCCTATATATTCTAAATTGAAAAATACCTTGAATGCAATAGAATGAACTGCTGTACGACGGGATGATTTTGAGTAGGATAACTCCTGCTTACAATCTCCAACGTATCAATATACACAGAATATGATAACCACCAATCTAAATGGGACTTTGCTTACACCATTAACGATAGTGAGTGTGAAACCAAATAACGTTTAAATTCTGTTTCGATAACTGTAATGAAATGAACATGGCATCTTATTCACAAACATAACCCTTCATTAGAATTTCTTTTCCGTATATGTACATTAGCATTTCTGCATACTGACTGCAGTATCAAAACAAATAAAATTCATTTGAATTTTTAATCAAAAGTCGAGTTTATGGTTATTCAAGTGATTCTATGATAAATTTTTAATGAACTGGCATCAGTTAAAGAGTGTCGTTCTAAAATAAGAAACACTTGGGAAACAGTGTTCAGTCTAGTTTGAAACTTTCAAGGAATGCACATCCAGATGAACTTATATCGACATTCAATTGTTCAGTTTTGAGTAGGACAGTTTATAATTTCTTATTTCTGTGTTCTCGATGTGAGTCATAGGTTTAGGGTTTGATCCATGAAATAAAACAGCTGGTTCTATGAGTGATGTCAGTTTGTGACGAAATCTACCATTTTGATTGTTGATCACAAAAATCCAATATTATGAAATTCTTTGTTATTCAATTTCTGAAGTTCTACAGTATTCGAACATATATGTAAGTGCTTCAAGTGAACTGTCGTCAAGATTTCACAGAATAGTTCTAAAATATTTGGGCGCCAAGTGAGAAGTAGACATTTGTAAAAAATTATATTGTAAAACCTCAGCGAGATTGATTGAAATGAGTAATTCCAACGTTTCGTTCGGCAATCTGATCCGAACTTCTTCAGGGAAATTAATCACAATTAACATGACAGATGTTGATACATAAAGGAACATCTCTTTTTTTAAAAACTTTGTCCAATCATAAGTCATAAAACAAGTATCAACAAGTATCATAAACAAAATTGTATGAGATGTGATCAAAACTTGACCTCAGACTTACAAATATAGGGCTACCTTTGTTAAACACTTTAAACAGTGTGTGTGTGTGTTTGTGGGTAAACAGTTGTAAAACATTTCTTAATGTCTCCATAAGAAGATACAGACAGTCGGGAATTTCGACCAAGTATTCCCAATTAGTGATACATATCCATTTTTATTTATTAATCAGGATTTCCTATGCATCAGGTGACATCATATTTTCATGTCTATTCACACTGTTAGCATCTAGAATTTTATGATTAGACGTATTTTCAAAATCACAGCTCATACAATTTTGTTTATGATACTTGTTGATACTTGTTTTATGACTTATGATTGGACAAAGTTTTTAAAAAAGAGAGATGTTCCTTTTATGTATCAACATCTGTCATGTTAATTGTGATTAATTTCCCTGAAGAAGTTCGGATCAGATTGCCGAACGAAACGTTGGAATTACTCATTTCAATCAATCTCGCTGAGATTTTAAAAATATATGTAAGTGCATTTAAGTGATATTTGTTGTCCAAACATTATCGTTTGCAGACATCTTCTTCAGGAAAACTTAATGATTGCTTTTTAGACGAAGCAATAAAAAGACGTAATTTGTCTGAATTGTGTAATGTTGTATTTACGCAACACATTTCCAACAATCTAATGACGCACGGACTTGTCATAGGATATATATGAAATTAACAAAGAGTTAAGAGGTAGGAAAATAGTCTTAGTCCAAGTTAAAATGACATATTCAAGGTCAAAATAGCAGTGAAGATCACTAAACCAAATAGCAGAGGTAATAGTACAATTGCCCTGACTCCTATCAAAATAAAGGAAGGTTTAGTTTGATGACAAATTGTTCTTGAACGCATAAAAGTAGTTTAAACTTTCTAACTGCCAGCTAGGACTTCCACAAACCTTAGGATACGCCCTCTCCCAAACACGTTTTATAGATAGGTTTGAAAAATGGGTAAACGTCAGTTTTATGTCCTGTCTCTTTAATATGTTTCACAATAGAGAAGTTAGGTTTCCTGTTCTCACCATTAATTTTAAGAGTTTTATATTACGCAAGCTCTTCTCTCGTTGAACTGCAATTATTTTTTAAGTAATTTATATGGATATAAAAGTGTAAGACATAAATTATCATTAGGACTATGCTCTATTCACAAGTCAGTTTCTAAATTTGCAATCGGAAGTTTTTCAAAAAAAAACCCGGCTAAAACATATCTGCATTTAAGGAACTAGCTGACTATTCCTGTTTCTGAATTTATTTAGAAGGTATCTTGTCTACAAACGCACACCTATATGTTATCACATATGTATGTGTAGGCATACACGAGGAATTCATTTAGATGCAACAAGTCAACCCGAATGCTTTCCATATGAGGTCGAATAAAACTGCGTCAACATCTTACACTCTACAAATATTATTTTCATGAGGTGAACATTTGTTCTAATGTGAAGTTATGAATAAGTTGTATAATATTTTTATGTATAAAATGATAAATTCCATCCTTTTTGAGGAAGAATTCTGTCGGCTAAATTCCTATCAGCCAAAGTTTTGTTTTCACTTTCTCCGATAATCCAAAAATGGGTTATTCTGTTTAAAAAAAAGGGCGAAAATGTTTTCCCTTTTCGTGGAATTTCTTCACTCTCCATTCCAGTATCTATTAAACGCAAATGATTAAAATGTTACACTGTTGGAGGTCTTTTTTTCATAAAATACTCTGTTGATGTTATCTCAAAAGACTGTGATAGTTATACTAACTAAATTGTTCACATAGTATGATCTATCAATATATAAGTTGCTGGTTGTACTTAAGATAGACCTTCATTAACCGTACTTACTAAAGACTTCTCCTCGGAATATCCTAATCAGTACTCTACCTAACGTGTAAGTAACGCTTAACAAACTCTAAGTGGAAAGGCTTGTCACATGGTAGTGTGCACTGAATATTATTATTAAATCCTTTCATTCCTAGAGGAACATAGGGCTTCAGCTGCGCGTCTCCATCGCGTTCGGTTTTCTGCCAACTTTTTCACCCCACTTCAAGTCTGTCCACACGCTTTCATCTCCTCTTCACATGACCTCCTCCAAGTCGCCCTTGCACTGACGACCACCTCGTTTCTTCCCTTTCGGGTTCCACTCGAGCAATGGCTTGTCTAGTGATGTCACTTGATGAATTGTTTCTTCAGAGTATGGCAAATCCATCTCCATTTCTTCCCTTCTATTTGTTTCACAATCGGTTCCCGGTTGGTTCGCTCATTGCCAGAGATCTATCCCTTTTGCTGATCTTTTCTGGCCGGTCATCTGATCTTGAGTAGTATTGAGCAAAGAAAGCTGTTGACGAAGTGTGTAGTTTGTTCGAAGTGCCCTTCGTGACGCGGCGCGGCGCCCAAGTCTCTGATCCGTATAGTAAGTAGGAATGACTTCACATTGGAGTTGAAAATCCGGACCTTATTTTTGATGCTGAGTGCTGTTGACCTTCACACAGACTTAAGAGTAATGAAAGCTTGTCTTGCTTTTCCAATTCTGGCTCTTATATCCTCGTCAGTTCCATCCGCCTGTAGTTGAAACGATGCACCCCAGGTGGTTAGATAAGTGAAGTAGGATGCTTCTTTGAAACTCCTCCCATTTATGCTGATTGTTGTTCGCTATTGTTGCTGCTGGTTGTTGGCCAGGGATCTTCATCACCTCTGTTTTCTCTATGTTCACCTGATATGTGTGCCCTGATAAGAATTGTATTTTTACCACAGACTGAATGTCAAATTTAATAAATCCGAATGTTGTACAACTTATCTGTTAACTGACTGCGGGAGCAAGCTCGACGAGGGAGCGAGCCACGTGCTAGCAGTCACGCCGGAAAAAAACAAAGATGGCGTGGCGCTATATTACATGAATGTGTTAAAACAAAAGTTCAAGCATTCAAGGTGCACTACAAATACTCTGCTTATATGTGTACCAGAGACTTGGCGCGTCACAAAGAGCATCTCCAACAAACGTCAGACCTTCATCAACAGTTGTCTTCGCTCAATACTTCGCTCAAGATCAGATGGCCGGCCAGAAAAGATCACCAACAGGGATCTCTGTCAGTGAGTGAACCAACACAGAAGGAACCGATTGTGAAACAAATAGAAGGAAGAAATGGAGATGGATTGGCTGGGCATACTCTGAGGAAACCGTCAGGTGACATCACTAGACAAGCCATCGCTCGAGTGGAACCCGAAAGGGGAGCGGCGAGTTGGTCGTTAGTGCAAGGGTGACTTGGAGGAGGTCATGTGAAGAGGAGATGAAAACGTGTGGGCAGACTTGGAGCGGGGTGAAAAAGTTGGCAGAAAACCGAACGCGATGGAGACGCGCAGCTGAAGCCCTATGTTCTTCTAGGAATTAAAGGATATAATAGTAATAATAATATATGTGTATGCAAAGTGTTACTATTATTTGACTGACTAACTGTATTCTAACTTGTTTCTGCTTAATTTTGTTCGTTCTACTTAGTCTTAGGCTATCAGCCAACAATTTCGACCCTCAAATGCATAGAAATCCTGGATACGTATACAATTTCGCTTCGCTGTACAGTCAAAACAGTAAATTCAGTGATTCAACTCGACGTGGAACACAAGGAGGCGATAAGTCTAATACAATAATAATGCAAAGAAATGAAGTCAGGCGTACCTCACCTCCAATGGATAAAAAACAAAATTCCACCCCCGGGGACGATGAAGATGATGATGATGACGAGAACAGTTCAACAAGCCGTTATAGTACAGCAGATTCATCTCCAGTTGAAGAAACTGGACCTGATATCAATAAAAAGCTTGAAGTAAAAGATGATGTCATGGATAATCAAACTAGTAATAATAATTATGATAAACAAAAAAATGAATTTGAAAAATCACCGCAAAATTTAAAAGTAGATCATCAAAATCTTACAAGACCGACAATGAATCGTCAAAGCGTGACTCTTGAATTTCGAACTATTGTTCAACGAGATGAATATGGTTATGGATTTAGAGTCTGTGGAAATAAACCAGTATCAGTTCATAATGTTCGTAAAGGTAAGTTATTTCATAATTATAACAATCTTTTGAGATATGTTAGCATACTGTTACTATCGATTTATCAAGTACCTAGTGGAATATAGAGCTTCAGTGGCACATTTCCATTGCATTCTGCTCTTCACTATCACTTTCAGCTGGTTCCACAATTCATTTCCTGTTCACAGGATCTCCTTTATGTCACCTTCCGATATATGTCGAGATCCATTCGCATTCCACTACAGGAACTTCCTGGTAAGAGATATCTCAGCGCGTACCAAGTCCACCTTCATTTCTTTCTCTTTATTTGCTGGACTTTAAGTTCCTGGCTAGTTCGTTTCGAGAGCCTCTTGTTGCCTATTCTTTTCAACCTACCAACTCACCTTTAGTATCGACCGTAGGCAGCTGTTAATGAAAGTCTCCCAGTCTTTTGAAAGTGCTTTTAGTGTTGCGCGCACTAATTTTTGAAGCATATAAATGCACTGATTTGACATTAGTCTCTAACCAATGTCAGCTCATGATGAAACCCTGTAATCAATCAAATCCCTACAAACCAACACCTGAATATTAATGTTAAAAGTCCGAATCTTGTCCATTACTCTCCTTGTGATGGGTCCCTACACTGATTTTAGAGTAATCAATATCTGTCTTGCCTTTATGATCCTCGCCTTGGTATCCTTATTCAGAGGATAGTGCCTATATAATTGAAGGGTACGAATTCTTTAGATTTCATCTGTTGACGGGGATCAGTCATTGCTACTTTTTGTCGGGTATTTCTAGCACCTCTGCCTTGTTTATATTCACCTTAAAACCTGGTTTCCATGGATCCTCTGCCAACTTATTCGTCTGAACTTGCAAATCTTCCACTTTGTGCAACATAAAACGTAATTCATCCTCAAAATCCAGATCTTCTACAGTCTTTTAGTTAGTCTAACGTATGTCCATCTTCCTACCACTTGTTACATGATACAGTCCACTACAGTCAGGAAGGCCACCGGTTATAGTCAAGAGGCTTGTCTTATTCCTTTCTTCACTTCAAACTCTCTGGTAGACTTCTTGTCATGAACTAATTAGAATGTGGTATCATTATATAGCTGTTAAACGAAGTTTATATATGTGTGAGGCACTGCAATCCATAGTGTTGTGATAATTGCTCAATCACTTCACAGCTAGCTACTTCTTCTTGTATCTGTCATTCCAACTACCCCGTGGAGCCTATCCTCTATGAACTTAATTTTTCGTATACGGGATCACATAACCGTGTGGCTAAATAAAATTGCAATAGAAATTATCATTATTAATATTATTGTTTCCTTTAGCTCCTAAAGGAACATAGGGCTTCAGATGCACATCTCCATTGCCTTTGATTCTGCCAACGTCTTCACCTGGCTCCACATCTGCCCACATGCTTTCATCTCCTCTTCACATCACCTCCTATATGTCATCACACCCTCACACTGACGACCAACTCGCCGCTCTCCATTATGGTTCCACTCAACCTATGGCTTGTCGTTTGATGTCACTTGATGACTTGTTTCCTCAAAGTATGGCCGATCCACCTCCATTTCTTCCTGCATATTTCTTGCACAATCGGTTCCTGCTGGGTTGGTTCGCTCCCAGACATCCCTGTTGTTGATCTTTCCTGGCCATCTGCTCATCCTGAGTAGTATTCAGCGAAAACAGCTGTTGATGAAGGTCTTCGTGACGCGCCAAGTCTCTGATCCGTATAGTAAGTAGGAATGACTTCACATTGGAGTTGAAAATCCGGATCATATTTTCATTTTCATGCTGAGTACTGTTGACCTCCATACAAACTTGAGAGTAAGGAAAGCTTGTCTTGCTTTCCCGATCCCCGCTGCTTTGATGTCATCATCAGTTCAATCCGCCTGTAGTTGAAATGATGCTTCCCAGGTAGGTAAAAGAAATTATTAAAAGTCTGATATTAGATCACTTGGTCTAAACAGACCACGAAATGGGCATTGAACAACCTTTTTCTATCACCTATCAGCTACCAAGTAAATTGCCAAAGGCCGGATACTCCAAAGAGTAGAGGGCATTGCAATTCACTTAAAATAAGCAGAGCTTTGGATGAAACAGGAACAGGCTCAGACACTATTGACACTATGACTTTCTATAGAGCCTATAAATTTATAAATTCTCTGTTACTTATTTTTAATTCATGTGATGTTTAATTTAGTGTCCTATTTATGCATATTATCACATATACATGTTTTGAACTGTATTCTATTGGTCTTATTGATTTGACGTTATTTAAGACATCAGTGTTGTCAATAACAACCACTTTTTTTTTTAACAATTACGGATACAAAACTGTAGATGCTGATGATAAAGTTATCGAAAAGAACATTCATTGTTCATTAATCAGCTTTCGAGAAATTTATAATCGCCATCTTCAGTCTGTTGAAGAATCAGCCCAGAGTTCCCTTTGTTTCTCATGTATGGTAATTAGGGAGAAGTTAAACTTTAAGCACCAGGGTGGATCAGCCAGCACTCAAATAACCTTGAACGCACCGACCACATAATAAGGGCCAAATTTGCGTATACAATACATGTATTCATGAAAATGATGAATTCAAAAGCATAAGACTATTACACAGAATACCTTTCTCTAACATGCGAGAAGAATGCCTCTTAGTTTTGTATAGGAATATCAACAGATTTGGTTTAACCACATTCTATGCATGTAATTATTTAGGTCTTCTAACCCTAGCAGTAACCCTATTCTTTCCTTAGCCTAACTCTAACGTGAAAATATCCCTTAACTAACTGTAATCTAACTCGAAGCAAACCTAATATCACCCCAAACCTTAACTTAATCCTCCACAGACCAAACCTGAAACTTGCCAGATATCCTATTTAATAACATAACACTTCATTAAGCATATTTTATTTGATATCAAAAAATTGTTTACCAGGTTTCAGTAACTTGTTCACTGGCGTTTCAAGGTCACTGGTGCAGCCACACCCTACTGGTACTTATTGGTACTTAAAGCTTAACTTGGCCGTAATTAGGTTATGTCAAATGACATAGTCTTGTTGCATATGAAGACAGAACCAATTCTTTATTAGTTTTTCGTCATTTCCCTCAAGAATCCCGCAACGTTCCGTTGAAAGCCATTCAAATATGTGCGCCAGTTCATATAGCGACCATTTGACTATGATGATTAAAACAATAAGAAATGCTGAAGAGTTTAAGCATTTTGGTGGATAGAATTTTGGATAGCTCAGTGATTTAAGCTGGCCGCCATAATAGGAGTGGTTCCCACTATTTTTCATTGGTTTCATTTGTCTTGATCTGATGTAATGTCATGACATCTCTCTTACTTGTAACCTATCTTACTTGTGTTGCCAGTACGTCTTTTGTTTTTCCTAGCACTCTTCTTTACTCCTTCATTCAGTGCACACTGTATACTAAACTCACCTATTTTCAGTGTTCACCTCTGTACTGGTTAATCTCCTGCTTTACCATCCCTCTATCATCCATCAACTTCCTGCTATCCATAGGCAGCCATTATATATGATCGATCTCCAGCATCTTTGAAAGATTTCAACTAGATTTCGAAGGTTCTTTGCACTAAATCGTGATTTGAGCCTACCTCTTCTTGATTTTGTCTCCAGAAGACTACATCCCCACTTTTTCTGGATTGAGATGAATCCTGTGTGATTTTTGGTGTGTCCATCTAGTGAAACTCACGTTATCTTGTGTAAATATCTTCGCCATTGTGCACGCTACCTGCAGTCACGAAATCCCTGAAGGCACAGAAGTTTGCGAAGAATTCATTGTTCTCATTCATTCCATCAAACGAATGCCTCTCTACCCATGATGAGTTCTCTTCGTATGTTGACTGCACCAAATTTGGAATTTATACTATCCATCATAATTTCGATACTGCCACCTGACTGAAGTCTTGTCGACCACTGTTTTCAGTATCTTTTAGTCTTTCTTCTCCACCGTGGCCTGTGTTATTTGTAGGAGCGTATCATTGGATAATTATAACTTTCTTTCCCTTTGAGTTGAATCTTGCTATCGTTATCCAAGAGGAGATTGATTCCCACTGCATAGAAGCCTTTGACACTGCTGGTGACATTATGATAGCTACACCTTCTGTGTGCTTGTGGTTGTGGTTTGGATGACCGGAGTAGATTACTGACACCCAGTTAAAAATCTGGAGTGTAAAGTTCCATCCCACCTGCTTTCACAAATTCCTAGCAATTTTATACCATATCTTCTCATTTCTTCCTCAGTCTACGCAGTCGTTGTGGCGTCAAACATTCCATATTCCTTTGCTTATTTTTGCTTTCACCAAAGTTAAACTTCCCTAAGGCTCTTCCCTGACGAAACTTTTAATCTTCTCCCAGCTTGTGACCAGATAGCGTATTAAGCAATATTATATAAGCTTACATATTGAAAAAGAAATCCATTAATGACAGAAACTGTGGGCTAGAACAGTCTGTATACAAAATGGATTCATCATTTTATGACATATTCTACCTTTGTTTCTATAGGTCTCAGTAAATTAGACTTGAACATAGTTAATAATTACAAACTAAAGCAAAAGAGCAACTATTGAATTATATGAACAGTCAAATCCCTGAAGTCTACTGTTTCATAACTGTATAAGACTTATCTCTCGTCAAGAAATCGATCAGATCATATAACCATATCAAAACGTTAGTAGAGTAACTACGACCAATAAACTGTCATCGAAAAACTACCCACTAGATTATTATCTAGTATTTATTCCCCTTGATCAATTTGGAATAAAACAAGAACAGCAGTGGTTTGTGAAGAATAATATGGTATCATCCTTCATTTATTTCGTTGGATCCCCATCAGCTCAACTGCTCACAGCCTAGTTTAGAGGTTTATGTACAGAAAAGTTTTAACATACTTGCAAATTATTTTTTCACATGGTGTCAGTTGACAGAAGGTTCTACAATTAGTGAACAGTGCTCAGAAAATTGCGCTTATATAGTTTTACACAGGCACTTCAAGTTTA